TCTTTAGTACGTCCTGAAAATTTCAATGACATCCACGATAAAATAACGACGATATACCCATTTAAAGTTATGAAATACAAGTTTCGCCATATTAGTTTATAATGTTTTGGACCAGAGTTGGTTGCTTTCAACATGGCGGCCAAGATCCGGAAGTAACATGCACCGGCACAAAAACTTCAAAGGTTCCGACTCGAGTGAAGCTTCTGCCTATTTCTATTTTGTGATATTGTTATAGTACTGCCAAAATTTCGCATCCTCATTCCTAAACCTCCGTCTTTCACTGTCTAATGTACAGGATCTGTCATTTGCAACAGAGTTTTCAATAGTTTCTGTTTCACCATCAGATCCATCCGAGTCTTCTTCTTCACCTGTTCTGATATTTGAGTCAGAAACTGGGGTTTCATCAGACATTATACCATCCAGATGCGTTTCTTTACTCGCCAAAGTTGCTTCATAACCAGCCATGTCAGCAACATGTTTTGCCTGTGATATCATATGTTCGTACCGTGATCGGGCTTGATCAACATCAAATGAACAATTGGTGGTATTGAAAGGTATAAACTCAGGACTAGTTCCTCCAGAATGTAGATCAAACTCATTCTCAAACTCCTTGAGGATAGCAGCTGTTCCTGATATTGTACTATTATCTTCAAGTGATAATGGTAAAACATAGGCCTCAGTCTTTCTTAAGCTATGCGTGGTGTCCAACAGTTCATCTGGCTCTAGCACGTTGATTTTATACTTTTTTCTCAACCTTGTAAGATCCGAATTGACCAACCATTTATTGAATTCCACCTCGTTCATCTTTTCAAGGCTTTTGTTTGTATTTGGCAAAAAGTTTAATACCTTGTCCATAGCAGACAAAACATAGTTATCTTTATAGTTCTCAAATACTTTATCTGAATCATTTTTTTTGGATCGTACAAAATGTCAGAAGATATTTTCAGAACATCTTTTTGGCTTTGTAGTGAATCACGCTTACTTTTTAGTTGCATTTTAACATTGTCCAATACAAACTGAATGATGATAGCTCTCCCTGTAAAATTCCACATGGATGGTGTTATTTCTTTAAAAATCTGTAAGTGCTTTTGTTTACCCTTGTAAATGTTGATATTGTCCATTAGTAAAATTATGGCAATGTCAGTTGGTGTAAGTTTTAAAATTTTTTCTTTCATTTTGATCATTCTTTGATCCAGAACTTGCATCGCTTTTTTCCAGCTAATTGTCAGTCCAACGTGGTTAAGCAATTCCACAAACCTCATCCCAGCACCATAAGAGATACATAACAATGTAAACAATATTTTAAAATCATTGGTCAACTTTTGACTGCTAAGGCTGCACAATATTGCCATTGCATGGCTGGCACTATGGACTCGCCTACCAGTTTGGGTATGTCCATCACTCGAAACCAAAAGAAGACTTTCGATTATTTCAAAAAGTAAAGGACATTGTTCTGTCAACTTTGTTGATAAATTAGAAAATAATGATCCATTGATTTCAATTTCTGTCGAGGTGGTGAGACCAAGATTAAACATTTCCTTAAATTTTTCAACTTCACCAGCAATATCATCTTTAATGGCTTTTGAAAGTGTCGGTGACTCATCTCTTTCAACCCATTTTGCCATTTCGCCTTCGTATAAATTGATTAAGCCTTCTGTGAATCTGTTAATATCTTTACTTATGTTCTTTTGTCGTTCAAAAAGTAATCGTAGATAACCAGTATTCCATTGGTCTTCCTTCTTTGACATCTCATTTTCCATCTCATTGCTGACAGTTTGCTGTTCCTCTTGCAGCCTTCTTATAGCCTTGTTAATGTTATCAACACCACTGTTTTCTGGAAACAACATATTTGGAAAAGAATACCTTCTAATGATTTTAGAATAAATGGTTTCTCTAGTTGTATCACTTAAATGTACGAGACGTCTTGACAATTTACAACCTGGAAACACCTCCATAACTGCTTTTGTGAGCCTAGATTTGTCATCTGACTTTAGACCAAGAGCCTGCAACATATCAGCTTGTGTGACAATACTGTTCTCATCCGTACTGAGTTCATAATTTTCATTCACTATGGATACTAGTGAGGCTTTTCTCTGCTTGATATCAAAACCTGATAAGTTGTTTGTACCTTTATCAATCAAAGGCTGACTTGTGGATGACACAACTCTATCTACATTAGGTACTCGTTGTTTCATTGCCGGTTCCCTCTCTTTGGCTGATGGTGTTAATGGATGTTTTTTAGATAATGGTTTGTTCTTCTCAGGAGTGGATGTGGCATATTTGGGGTTTGGCATATTTGTCACCTAAAAACAGTGTATGAAAACTATAACTCCTCACTGAAGTGTACACAGTATTATTAAGTAAGCCCCCTTGATGAGTGCGTATGCTCTTGGGGCAAACTCATTCTCATCAAAAATATTTTTAATAAAGTAGCTAATATATTATATGTATTGCTAGAAATTCCCTAAACATTCGTTTGTCATTGAAAACGTTAACAACCAAATCAACAAGCAGGATGATGTCATATAAATATAGAGCACAAGGCAAAACGTCCATGCGGTTCTTTCGAGGAGGTTGGACAGCTAATTAGGCGAATCTGGGCGAATCTCTCGACCAATCAGATTGCGCCATTTTCCTCATGCTCGCATGAAGCTTTTGGCATTGTTTAACAATATATATTTTTTCTTCCTAGGGATTTTATGGCTAGATGTCATAGACTTAACCGGTCATTATTTATGAAGGGGGAGGGGAATTTTTTTTCTTTTGTAAATTTTTAAAATTGAAAGCCCCCTTTAAAAGAGCAGAAATTTAATGATGACCCCCCTACATATTAGAATATGTTTCTTTGCCCCCCCCCC